ATTTTTGGCGACCTTGCCAGGACCTATTAAACCAAACCACATTTCCAAATTCAGACTAGCAGATTGAACTTGACTTTGATTCTTCCCACAATTTCACACATCAGATTCCTCCAAATTGGATCCATGTAATTTGGAGTGAAGTTGCTTTTTGTCATTCATCGTAAAGTTTTTCTTGAGAGCCAGTAGTTATGTAATTGCCGTATCCACACTACCAAACATGTACTAAATTTTCCTCTCCCATGTGATATTTGAGATAGTTGGTAGCGCGACTTTCATTAACTTTGGACAAGCGTTCAGCGATGGCGGCCGGCAGCGAGTTTCAACCGATCGGACTTGCATGGTGCAAGAAAGACGATGTACGTCCCTCCCATTCCCTTCTGCTAGTTTCAAATCCCATCGCTATCTCAACTGACTCCATATTGGTTGCACTCTGTGATGTCATCCAACATCTAACTGGTGTCTCCCGACGCGAAGAATCGGGTAAGACTCTCCTTCTTCTTGAGTTTGACCAAAATACGTCAGATGTGGTTCTTCCGCCAAGTGGTGAATTGAAGGTGACATTGTCTGGGCGAGAAGTTGTGTTTGCTGTTCATCGACTTACCAGAGTTCGAAGTGACAAAGTCACAGTAGCAGACCTCAAGGCCAGGGGTTTGCTGTCGTCTACTGATAAGGATGAGAGTGCACAGCCTGCAGGAGTGGAAGGACCCACTGTGGCATTACAAGCAGCTCTCTCCAAGTGCAAGATAGCTAGTTCAAGGAGACTTGCTCCATTTTCAGGTGTTGCTACAGGGGAAACCTTTGATGCTTGGGTGGAAGTGGCACAGGGACAATTGGATGAAGAGGATGAGGAGGCTGAGAAGAAGAGGCGTATCCGGGAGGCCCTCCGGGCCCCTGCGGCCAACATCATCACAGACCTGAGGCGTGAAAATCCCCAAGCCACATCAGAGGATTATCTCCAGGCACTTGAGCTAGCATTTGGAGACACTCACACTGCAGATGAGTTGAGTATCAAGTTCCATTCTCTCCATCAGAAGCAGGGAGAGAAACCCTCCGAGTTTCTGACACGTTTGCAGGGCATCCTTCGGAAACTTACACGAAAAGGTGGTGCCCCGGCTGACAAGACAAATAAAATGCTACTTACCCAGTTCATGAAGGGGACACTGTACAACGAGATGCTCTTGGTTAATCTTCAGCTGAAAGACAAGATTGAGACTCCACCTACTTACCTGGCACTACTCAAGATGGTCCGACGAGAGGAGGCTGAGCAGGCAGAAAAGGTGTCCCGGCGAGAGCCTAAGCCGGTGCCTCAGCCTATCAAGACGGCCAAGCATGGAAAACTGAGTCAGGGAGAGTCGAAAAGAACAAACACCAAAGAATCAACGCACCAACGCCCAAATTTCTGCTTTAAGTGTGGCCAGGACGGTCACTATCGCACCAGATGTGATAACCAACCTGACCCAGAGAAAGTGAACGAGAGGTTTGTTAGCTTCTACCTGCAGGGAAACGAACGGGGGCGTCAGAAGAAGGCCGATTCGGCGCCCAAAAATTGAGGCCACCTAACAGTCGACCCGTCATCTATCAACCCAACACAGACATTCCAGAGGGGTTGGTGGGGGATCTCCATACAAGACCCTGCTACGTGGATGGCATGAGGACCGAGGCACTACTGGATAGTGGTTCACAGGTGACCCTCATATATCGAGACTTCTTTGAAAGTCTTGGTCTGCCACTCCGTCCACTGCAGGATCTTGTGTTGCTGCATGGTGGTGATGGAAAAATGCCCTATCTTGGGTGGACAGAGATTAACCTTGGATTTGATGCCACTTTTTGTGGGACGGACCGGGCCTTCCCTACCTTGGCCTTGGTTGTCCCAAATAGCAAGAATACAGCCAACTACAAGTTGATTGTGGGGACAAACAGTGGAGTATTTCGCGAGTGCTATTCCTCCCTTCAGGGTGGGCCGCAAAGGGTACCAATAGACAGAGTCTGCGAAGGTATTTATAAAGAAATCCGTGGTCTGCAGAGGATTGGATCGGAGGGGTTGATAGGCTATGTGAAATCCAGAGCTGCTGCACGCATGATTGTCCCAGCAGGATCTACACAGTATGTTGTTGGGCAGATAAGGAACAGGCTTGGAAGAGCCGTGAACGGGTTACTGGACTCCACTGTCCCCAGTCGACTGCCAGGAGGGTTAACAGTTTCATGTACCCTTATCAACATCGCTCAAGGCTTTGGGAAGGTCAAAGTGTGTCTTTTGAATCAAACTGACCGTGACATATTCCTGCCCAAGAAATGCGTTCTGGCAGGGGCCTACCTTACCTCATGGGTGGCTGGAAGGACTGGCAAAGTGGAAGACAAACCTTGCACCTCCGCTGAGTTCCTAAGGGTTGCAGCGACAAGCTCCACTGAGGTGAGGGGAGACCAGAGACCTTCACTTTCAGAGAAGGAATTTTACAAATTGCCATTTGTTTGGGGCCCAGTCAGCGCAGAAGAGAAAGAGCGAGTCCTCAAAATTGCCTACCAGAGATCAGAAATCTTTTCTCTGCATGAATGGGACATTGGCTCTACGAAAGAGATCTACCATGAGATCCGCCTGACAAACGATGAGCCATTTCGTGAAAGATCACGTCGAGTTGCCCCTGGGGATCTGAGGGATCTACGGGAACACCTTCAGCACTTGATGGACATCGGAGTAATCACAGAGTCCAAGAGCAAATACGCTTCACCAATTGTGATAGTAAGAAAGAAGAACGGCCAGATAAGACTCTGTATTGACTACCGCACGTTAAATGCCAGAACCATACCTGACCAGTATACTGTGCCGTTGGTACAGGAGGCTCTTGACTCCTTACATGGATGCAGCTGGTTTTCCGTAATAGATCTTAAGTCGGGATACTATCAAATACCCATGCATCCCAGTGACAAGGACAAGACGGCTTTCACTTGCCCAGTCGGTTTTTACCAATTCGAGAGGATGCCACAGGGTGTAAAAGGTGCACCAGCGACGTTCCAGAGATTAATGGAGCGGTGCATGGCTGGCCTCAACATGGCGGAAGTGTTGGTCTATATGGACGACATAATTGTGTTCTCCTCAAGTTTGGTCCAGATGGAAGAACGACTTGGCAAAGTTTTTGACCGTCTTGCCCAGTACGGCCTAAAGGTATCCCCGGAGAAGTGCCAACTTTGTTGTACATCCGTAAAATACCTTGGCCATATTGTCTCGAAGGAGGGAGTTCAGACAGACCCTGCCAAGTTGGAGGCACTGAAAACTTGGCCCCGCCCCGAAAACGTCAGTCAGCTTCGATCCTTTTTAGGATTTTCAAGCTATTATCGCAGATTTATTGAAGGGTTTTCTGCCATAGCCAAACCACTGTTCCAACTGACTGGAGGTGCTCGAAAGAAAACAGCAGTGGCTGGGAAGGGCGATGGGTTTGTTGATCACAGAACCCCCTTTGAGACCAGATGGACGCCTGATTGTGAAAAGGCATTTCAGACATTGAAAGTAAGACTCTGCACAGCTCCAGTGTTAGCCTTTGCCGACATGTCTCGCCCTTTTGTTCTTCATGTTGACGCATGCCGTGAAGGACTGGGGGCCGTGCTCTGCCAAGAGGCTGATGGAAGACTTCGTCCCATCGCTTATGCAAGTCGGAGCCTGAGCCGGGCTGAGAAAAACTACCCAGCTCATAAGCTGGAGTACCTTGCCCTGAAGTGGTCTATAACGGAAAAATTCCGAGACTATTTATATGCGGCAAAGGGTACCCAAGTGTTCACAGATAACAACCCATTGACATACATATTGACCTCAGCAAAACTTGACGCAACAGGTCACAGGTGGTTAGCTGCCCTTACTACCTTTGATTTCACCATACACTACAGACCCGGACGTGCGAACCAAGATGCTGATGCTTTGTCTCGAAGACCAGCTGTAGGTGGTGGTGGGACCAAAGAATTTGATCAGCAGGAGAAAATTCGGGATCTTGAAGCACGCCTGCGAGGAGAAAGCAAGGACATTGATCAGACCTGCAATCGTGAGGAAATCAATGCCATTTCAGCCCAACATCTGACTAACTCAGAGGCCAGACAGCGGTCTTCTATCTCTGACCCTACCGATGGTGAGTCTTTGGTGTATTGCATGGCAATGAGTGCAGATGCAGTCCCAAATGACTATTCCAGCCCGGGCGCTGACTTGAAAGTGTGTGGGTTGGAATCCGTTGACTGGAGAGAAGCACAAACAGCTGATGAGGACATTAGTCAAGTCATCCAGTTTGTCAAGCAGAAATCCAAACCCAAGGTGTCAACCAACTTTTCCAAAGAGTTGAAAGCCATGTGTGGACAGTTCAGCAGGTTTGTGCTGAAAGATGGTGTATTGTACCGAAGCTGTGTTGGCCCATCTGGATCTAGATTGTTTCAGTTAGTGGTGCCGCAGAAATTCCGAGAACAGGCTATGAGAGGGGTCCACAATGATGTAGGTCACTTGGGGATGGAGAGAGCAGTTGCTCTGGCAAGACCCAGATTCTATTGGCCCAGGATGGCATCCCACCTAGAGGAGTGGATTCGGTGTTGTGCCAGGTGTGTAGCGCACAAAACTGCTCCCAAGGTTTCAGCTCCTCTTGTGAATATCTCAACTACTTACCCGTTAGAGTTGGTGTGTTTGGATTTCCTCAAGCTTGAGAAGGATCGCAGTGGAGCTGAATACATCCTGGTCATAACTGACCACTTTTCGCGCTATGCGCAAGCATTCCCAACTCGGGATAAGTCTTCCCGAACTGTGGCAAAATTGCTGTGGGAGAAGTACTTCCTACATTATGGCCTGCCAACACGACTTCATTCAGACCAGGGACGTGAGTTCGATAATAGACTCATTAAAGAGCTCACAAGCCTCCTTGGTGTGCAGAAATCAAGAACGACACCTTACCACCCGCAAGGGGACCCCCAGCCAGAAAGATTTAACCGTACCTTACTTAGCATGTTGGGTACTCTGCCAACTGAGGACAAGCCAAACTGGAGTAGGTATGTAAGCTCTCTGGTACATGCCTATAACTGTACCCGCAATGATAGTACAGGATTTTCCCCGTACTACATTATGTTTGGCAGGGAGGCTCGCCTCCCCATAGACCTTTGTTTTGGCACATCCCCTGATGGTGTTGCTAATAGCGATCACTCCAAGTATGTACAACAGTTGCGACAAAATTTGGAGAGTGCCTATAGACTAGTATCCGAGGAGTCTGCTAAGACAGCAGCAGCCAACAAGCGTCGATATGATGCAAAAGTGAGAGGTAATGAGCTCCACAAGGGAGATAGAGCTCTCATACGGAATGTTGGCCTTAAGGGCACTCACAAGCTTGCTGACAAATGGGGTAAGCAGGTTTATGTTGTTGTTGGTCGTCACAATGACAGTATCCCAGTCTATCAGCTTAAACCAGAGATTGGTTCTGGACCAATCAAGACACTCCACAGAAACATGATTCTTCCTATTGGCCTGCTTACGGGAGAGATGAGTCCCACCCCTGTTCCAAGGAAGGCAGACCGGCCACGCACACGGCAGTTGGGAATGAATGAGCCATCTCTGATTTCTTCCAAGGAGGCCGACCCGTCTGACTCTGAGTCTGACGAGCCTGAAGTAATTACTGTTTGGCCAAAGGAGGATGAGGCAACCACAATTGTTCACCAGCCTCAGCCACTTACCAACTTGGGAGAAGATCTGATAGGTGTTGAACCAGACACACCCAGAGAGCAAGGCACCCAGGAGACTACTTCTGATTCAGCTCTGAGTCCGTATGCTGAGGAGTTTGTTCCTCAAACCTTTTCTTTGGACCTTAATGAGAATGCATGTGACTTGATGGGATCTGCCTTGCCATCACCAGATGATCAACCCTGTAGTGCTCCGCTAGTGAGAGAGTCCTCGGAGTCTGAGGCAGAGCCAAGTGAACAGCAGGGTAAATCTGACCAAGAGTTTGTCGAGCAGTCTGGGGTTTCCTGTGACCAGGAGAGTGGAGACAAACCATGTGTTAATGTTGTTCCTTCAGACACGTTCCCAGGAACGAGTCCTATGTCAGAAGCTGAACAAAACCCTTGTGATGAAGTCCACAAGGAGGCTACACAGGAGAATGAGCTGTCATCTGATGGTCAACGTCAGGAGTCAGAACAGTTAGGTCCTGTGGTAGAGGAAAGCTTGTCTAACAAAGATGACATCTCAGACGATGGTAGTGCAAAACCAGATGCCTCAGCTCAACCTGCTGAGCATGATCTTTGTTCTCTCAGACCTGTGGTTGGCTCTGGTGTGGCCTCTAATGCGGATGGCTCTCTTTGCTCAAACACAGAGAGTGGCTCAACCGAAAATGATGTTGGCAATATGCCTGTTGTATCAGGGCCTAGCCCTAACACAGATACACATCCTTTGAGTCGTGAGAATATGGAAAGTGCACGTCCATCTAGAGAGCGAAAACCACCACAGAGGTTCACATATGATACACTGGGTCAACCTACCCGAACTTATGTAGTGACATCTTCTACCTTTGGGAATCTAGTCCCAACACTTTATGACACTATT